TGCGAGGACATTATGCACTGGGCTGCGAGGACATTATGCACTAGGACAGAATGCAGCGAGGTCTTTATGAACTGAACCTGCAAAAACACAACACCGTGGAAGGACAGCGGAGCCGCCGGAGCTATCCTTAAGGTAGTAGTGCCCGCCTACCGTACCGGAAAACGTGGGCACTCTCCTCCCAGGATAAAACCGCTATCGTGTGTGGAGATTGTACGGACCAACCACACACCAACGAACAAGAACAACGTAGGAATGTTGGCAACAAAAACCTTTAAAGGGAATGTCCGGAAAAATTGGCTGGAAAATCAAGAGCTCTCCCTAAAAGAAAATAATAAAGTGTTTTCTCTTTTCTTTCTCTCTTCCTCACGCAAGGCACACAAAAAAATGGAGAGGAGCTCTTTGATTTTATAACTAAGGTGTTTAAAATGTGTAACTCCTACACCATTAAACCCTTAAATATAATCATGACATTTGTGGTGTGTTAATGGTGATTAATTAGCCATTAACACGTCCGTTACGTTACGCTCCGTTTAAAATTTGTCCCGTATAATTGGAGATTAATGGCCAGTTAACTCCGTAAAAATGGACTAATTTTAAACAACACGTAAAATTAATAAAAGAAGATTGGTTCAGTAAAATTGCAAAAATTGCAATCCTCACCATATTCTTTTATTAACGGGTTAACTCTGAGAATCAATTTCTCATTCACCCTCTACCATTTTTGGCGTATAAATTGGCAAAACATTTATCTCATTTAAGAGAACACGCGTCCATTAATTAACGGTTAAAACCGTTTGTGGACCTATTGACAAATATACCCAAATTGGTCCATTTAATGCCAATTAAAAATGCCAAAAATTCCAACAAGAGGTCCCACCGAATGGTGCGGGTCAATTGCTCGACGAGGATAATTTGGAATCTTATTGGTCTAGGCGTGTGACAGTGACAAACTTTTTTGAGTTTCTCGGGTTCTTACTCCGTTTCAATACATTATGTTTAATTCAGTGAATTTGAAAGGAAAGGAAAAGAAATTAAGAAATATTATTTCTTGTTTGATTAGAGAGGAAAAAATGAAAAGTGGAAGAGAAAAATGCGAATCTATTTTCTTATTTTGTCCTTTCGAATTTTTTGAACCAAAGGTAATGTTAGTCTCTTAAAAAAAGTGTCTTCAATTTTAATTAAGAAAAGCCACAAAGTCTATTTTTTGAACCAAAGGTAATGTTAGTCTCTTAAAAAAAGTGTCTACAAAAAAGTCTCTTAAGAAAAGCCACAAAGTCTAAAAAACAACGAAAGTCATTAAAGTGTGTGCTTTGAATTTTTCAAATACACAATTGAGAGTGCCGTACACTCTGTGAATATTATTTTGAAACAACAAATCTTCATTTTTATAGAGGAAGAAGAAGGAGAGACCGAATTTCCCATTGCATGGAGGATGAATAAAAATCGTCTCTTGACTAGGTAATTGGTGACATCAACTGAGGGGTAAGGCTTTGAGTATCCCGATCATGTCTTTAAATTCAAAAAAGCACTCTACGGTCTTAAACAAGTACTCAGTGTTTGGTACTAACGTTTGAGTAAATTTCTTTTGGATAGTGGTTTCCAAAAGGGAAAAATTGATACTAAACTTTTTATCAAGAGTACAATCAATTGTGGCTTACATTCCAAAACATATTCTAGCTACGTCTCAGAAAAATCTTCTTGTTTTGACTTTTCATGGACTACAAATTATAAAAAAATTTATATTTAATTATAATATAAACTCAATGTAATTGGGTTTATCTTAATATATATTTTTGATATATCAAATTTTTATAACATTTATTTATTTAGATCCTATTTAATTTATAATAAAAAAGTGTCAAAATTTAACGTTGAAATTATTATTAATTCCAATTTTCAAAACCATGTCATATTAGGCCACTGGGTATGGGTGTAACGCCGGTGGGCGTTAGGGGCGTTAAACACCGCCCCCCAGCAGCGTTACCCGGGTGTCACACGGCCTGCGTCAAACGAATGACGCTTCGTCATTCTCCTTCCCCTCCCCCATTAACGGCTATAATAGCCGTTGGACTCAAAAAAAAAATTCTTATAAATTCAAACCTCCCCCTCCCAATCTCTCACACCTTCCTTCTTCATTCTTCTTCAATCTTCTTCTTCCCAAATTTTAAATTTCGAAATCACCCCTTCTCTTTTCAACATGAATCCTTCCGGCTCCGGCTTTTTTCCCGACAATCTCCCGCCAAGCAACGCCGCGATGTGGTATTACCAAGAGTGGGGCGATCAACCGCCGATCTACGAGACGCAACAATCGGGGTACGCCGAGCGAGATTCGGTTCCGAAGACTCAACCGGAACCGACTGGGTCGAAAAAAAGCACGCGCCGGAAAAGCCCCAAAGCCAAAGGCACGATGACCGAGGCGGCACGGTCAATCCAAAAGTGGACGCTGGAGGAGGAGTGCTTATTGGCGTCGGCTTGGGTTGACGTCTCCGATCATCCTATCATTGGTAAAAATTTTATTTTTTCTAATATATTTATGTTTTTATTTATATATATTATATTGAATCTTGTCTAAAAAAATTGTGTTATACATTTTTTAAGGTTCGGAGCAAACGAAGGATGCGATGCGGGATCGTATCGAGGAGAAGTTCTTCACGGCGATGAACAAGGACGGCTCCTACCGAACCCGGGACCAACTCACTTCCAAATGGAGCCACATCAACCATAAAGTCCGAAAGTTTATCGGAGTTTACGAGGAATGCTCCCGGTCCCGAAGGAGCAGGACGAACGACGACGATGTTCTCCGGCTTGCCACGGCCCGGTATCAAGACGACGAGCACCAAGGCAAGGTTCCCGTCGATCTTTGGAGGATTTTGAGCCGTTCCCCGAAGTGGCAACAACTCAACAATCCCGATGGCGGATCGTTCCGAAAAAGATCCTCCGTCAATGCCGAGGTTGAGGTCGACGAGACTATCGGTTCGTCCGATCAAATGCCTCCCTTCAACGTTGCGGATTCCGATGACGAGGACCCCATTCCACGGCCGATCGGAAGAAAGAAGGCAAAATCCATTGCCTCAGGTTTGGGAGGGTCCGGCTCTGCTTCCGTTTCTTCTTGCGACGAAATCGGCCGGGCAATGGTTGAACAACTTCGGGTGTTCAATCTTCGAGAAGAAGAGATGTTGAAGCTAAAAGGGAAGGAGTTGAAGCGAAAGGAGCAAGACGACGAGATCAAAATCATGGAAACCGACCTTTCTACGTTGTCGGGTTTCAAACGGATGATCTACGAGCAAAGACAAAGAGAGATCAAGGTGAAATATAATTTACCTTAGTTTTTTTTTATTAATGTACCTTTTTTATTATTGTCGTTTTTTTAATTTAACGAATGTAATTTTTTTAAACTTTAAATTATTGTCATTTCAATTTCTTTAAATTTAATGGATGTAGTTTTTTTATTCGTGTCTCAATATAATTAAATAATAAATTAATTTAAATGTATTAATTTAAATTTAGAAGATGTATATTTAAAAATGTAAAAAATGAAGGTTTGAAGCCTTTAAACCCATTTCCAATGAATCTGTGAGGTAAGTTAAAGCTGACGTGACAGAGAGAGAAATTTTGAAGCTTTGATTTGAAGCCCCGATGCTTCAAGAGTATTTCCAGTGCTCTTAGTCATATCAAAGTTTAAAAACTGTCCTTAACTTTATCTTGAAGCAGTGTCAAAGAGCCCACCTGACCCACCCATACCCCACTCACCGTTTTTTTTTAACCGAGGGAAGAGTAAAAAACAGATCTGTGAGAGAGAACCAGATATATCCACAATCATAAATAGAAAGCTTAGCCAGTTTGCTGAAGTTACAGCCGAGATAAATTGCAGTACTTTTAATTTCCAGTGTCGTTGCTCAAGAGTAAGTTCACCTACATAGAAGATTAACTCTTAAAATTTTCACCTTTCACTGAGATCATAACATTTGAAGCTTTAATTTAGGAACTTGTAGAGATATGAGCTTTGTGGTTAATAGCTTGTTCTTGCTCAGATATTTACACTTTTCTTAATTTTATAATTTGGGGTTGGATTTTTGTTGTCAGGGTCCTTCAATGCTTATTGAATTAGTTCAAGTTTGGGGTTTTGGGACTTTGATTGTGCCATGCAATGACTACTTTTAGGGGTTTAGTGGTTCCTCTTGTTAAAGTTTACAGCTTTGCATGTGTATTAGTAGTTTGTGCTTGGCATAAGCCTGGCTGTACTGATGGTTTTCTGTCCAGAGGTTAAACCTATTTCTTTTTGTGATTACTTCCTTTATTACTCTCTGTAGTTTTCATGTCGTTCTAGCATATATAGCAGTGTGCTAATTAAATACTTCCTTAGTCCCTCGTCCCGGAATTGGATTTCACGGAGTTTAGGAATAATGTTGAAAATTATAAAATGTTCGATTGAAAAATTGCTTAGAGGACAGAAAATGTTGTAAGCCACATATTCGTTAATAGTAAAGTTAGAGTGTGCAAACTTTATTTTGGGACATCCCCAAAAGGGAGGTGCATACTTTATCTTTCCAACAGAGGAATAAGTGTAATTGTCTATGAGCAATATTCAAGGTAACTATTAGCTCAGTGAGTTGGCAAATTTGGGCAGGTTTTGGGTTCCATCTGTCGTGCATTTATTTTTGGGGTGGGGCAGTGACGCAAGTTCTTAGGATGTCGCAACCTCAGCCTACGCAACAGCATGAGTTTCCTATAATGTTCAAACAGTTTTAGGAACTTCAGCAAAAAGACGACTTCAGAAATTAGGTTACATGGGGCAGCAGAATCATGTAGATCAGCTTTGTTTGTTTAACAAACAGACGTCTGGGATTCAAGTTCCGCCATTGTTTAATGGAACACCTTTCCGTGACGCACCTAACATGTTTTCTGTTGGATTTCCAAATAGATCAATTGTTTCACAATGTCAAAGTCAGGCTGGATCTCCAATGGGGGTGTTACCCCATCAACTCAATATGTCTACATACGGAAGTCCTGTTGTTCGCCTGGGAAACAATTTGAGTCCCCACCCTACTCTGCAAGGGCTATATAATGACACGAGTATCTTGACTGATAGCAACATTGTCCAAGTAGAGCTATCCGGGATTTCGCATGAAACCTTCAACAGTTCATCTATGAGTGAACAATCCAATGTGTCTTGTGTTCACTCCGGTCATGGTTTCATGTCCGGCATTGGTCTTGCTCCCAAACAGGTTTTTCAAGAGAACTTTGGACAAATTCCTAATAAGGGTATGGTTGGAAAGCAAGTGAGTAAATCGCCATGCAAATCATTGATGCAGGAATCTTGTGGTGGCCAAGAACAAGTAAGTTCATCTGATCTCTCTGCACTAAAGCTGCCAAACACTCAGAGTGCTTGTTCTTTGGGTCCAGTAGAACAGAAAATTGTGTTCGTTACAGATGATAGTTGGCAACCTAATCTTGGTGAACAGGGCAATGTGGGGGGCATAAGTGGCATTGGTAGAACAGCAGGAAGTTCTGATTGTCTCTCTTCTTTTCCCACTGTTCAAAGTGGTAGCTTGAGTGCCCTTATGCAGACTGCAGTTGCAGAAGCCTCTAGCAGTGATACTGGTCTCCAGGAGTGGAGCGGCATGAGCTTTCAGAACCCAGAAATTTCAACTGAAAACCAGCCTTCTAATTATGTACACAGTAGGGGACGACAAAATAACGCGATTCATAATACCATGCAGAATGCCTCGTTCCCTACTTCAAAACCCAAGCTTCTGAGCCAAAGTTATTCTATGAACTTCAATTCCCAGGGTCTTCAACAGTTGAACCACAAGTTTCCAGGACATGTGGAGATACACTCTGGTTCTCAACTGGATACATCTTGCCTTCACGGCCAAGCTTCCACTTTGGATACAACGTATCAAAGGTCAAAGTTAGTATGATTACCTCCATGTGCTTACAAAACAATTTCTTACCAAACCTGTATGCAAACTCTATTATACTATAATAATTTTGTACCACGTTACCTACTATGTTCAGCTTGTTTGCTTTCCAGTCTATCACTCTTTTGTCCAACTAGTTTTGGCTTTGTTTTATTTCTTACTCCGGTATTACTTTACAGTCTAAGAGTCCTATTTTTTCCTCTCTTTTTTTAAATGGCAGGAAGCATTTGTTAAACCAATCTCACACAGATGGAGATATTGTAGAACATAGAACAGGAACCCTCTATAAGTACAAAGACTTTGTCCAGTCATCTGAAAAGGTCCAGACAAACGCCTCTGAATTGTCTCTTGCTCATCCAGATAATAGTTCTTCCATTTATCAAAGTAGTATTGGCTTGAGGTTAGGATCACCATCTCAAGGGATACCCAGATTACACACTTCTTCTGAATCTTTAAGTTTAGTGGGTGGCACAACATTTACCCTACAATCCGTGTTTTCTTGAGTAATGTCTTCTTATAATTTTTGTAAACCATAATTTATGCAAAAAGAAAAAAAACAATTTAGCAGTATGCTCATTCTAAGGAGTTAGTAACACTCATGTTCAATTTGGCAGTTTTATAATCAACTCCAAAATCAAAGCCTTCCTTTGCATGTTGGAAGTCATTCACTACAAGAAATGTTTGCTACCCAAGGTACTCCTTCTGTGATCCTTAGCATCTCTCAAGAGGTATCTCATGTAACTCATGTAAACCTTCACACTCATGTCTGGGAAATATAAAGGGGTCAGAATCATGGCAGGTAGTGGAGCGAGTGTAGGAGAGAAGTGTAATTCACTGTCATACCTGGGATATAAAGATTTGAGGTTCCCTTCGAAGACCAGAGGAGATCAACTTAAAAAAAATATTTCCCAGATTATTGTTTGTGATAGTACTGAGATGGCAATGCTTGGTCAACCTAATGAGACTGTTGTTAGTACCGGTATCGGTTCTAACAAGGTAAAGGAAGGAAAGCTCAGTTTACAAATGGCTCCATCTGGGTTCAAGCATCAAAGAAACTCAAAAAAGTGGCAGATCTTATCAATGCTTGACGCTAAGAACACCTCACACCAATTACCTGTTGGTGAGCCCCTTGATAAGTTGCAAATGAGTTGCTTCATTTTGAGAGCAATCCATTAAGTTCTAGTAAAGGCAGCAATTTATGGCCAAGTACCTCTATTGTGTCTGTAGTTTGTACACATTTATCAAATCTTACATGCTGCTTTGAATGTGTCAGACCAAAAATTTGACATCAGGAGATCAAAGAAGCGCAAACTTGACTCTTTTGATTTCCTGCCATGGTACAAAGAAGTGATACAAGCTTCACTGAAATTTCCAAATTTCAGGTCTGATGTACTTGACGTTTTTCCTAACATATCATTATTCGTTTTCCCACTCCCAAATATGGGGTCTCATCAGCATTCTAAACAGAACACTTTACTAGTTTTTCATGAAAACAAACTTTTATTTGATTTGGATGTTATTACCTTCATGGTTTCATTCATTTATTTGAGATGGTTTTTGGCAATTTTGAACTGGATCTTAACTTCCTTTCACTGTGTAAATGTTTTCAGTATGATTGAATTGGAATGGTGTCTAGCTTCAAATAGAAGAAGCCAAAGGGTAGGCGATTGTTATTGCAACTCAACCCTTGCAACCCTTTCTAACGCTACCCTTTCTAACTACCTTGCTTTTGTTAACAGGTGGAAAATGAGGCTGAAGTGTTTCAAGATTCGGCTCTGATCCATCAACCAAAGAGAAGGCTTACCAAGTCAACACAGCTAATGCAACAGCTTTTTCCTCCCTCGCCGACTGTTATTATCTCAGCAGATGCCTTCTCAAATTGTGATAGTGTGGTGTATTTTATTGCTAGGTTAGCTCTAGGTGATGCTTGCAACATGACTTGTGATATTCACATGCAATCTACTGCTGGTGATATGTAAGAAGAATCTCTCTGTTATACATAGTTTGTAGTTTTCCCCATTTCGTCTTGAAAAACTTCAATTTTCAGGATTGATGCCATTATAACTTGTTTGAATGAAAGTAAAACAAACACGCATTGGGAGGGGAAAATTTTTGAGACGTGAAATTAGTAGAGTTTCATATGCTATCTTTTGTTTTTAAATGTGCAGGCTATACGGTAAGGTAGAGGCCCCTGGCATAAGTGGTGGAAAAGATTTACTACACACCATGGAAACTTTCATATGTAGAGCAGAAAGGCTTCATGCAGATATCATCAGGTGGGGACCCTTGTTACCCAAGACACATTTCCGTGTTTTGTAACCTTTCGTGTTGCTTAATGTATGGGTAAATAACGGAACTCTAGTTGCTTAAACAAATATTTGGCTACTTTACAGTTTTATTTTTCGACCGTATCTTACCTAAGCAGTGAATTACAGAGTAATATGGTTTTTTTAATCCTACTTTTGGAGGGGCAATGTATAGCTTGAGCATAATGCAGAATGAAACAACTAATTCTATGTGGCATTATCAAGAAGTTTTCCTTTATTCTTGGTAATGTTTTTCTTTTGATTTTTTTGTTGAATCATCCTTTAGTGTTTATGTGCAGACAGGAAGAACGAGCCTCCTTTCTGGACTTGAAGGTTGAATCACAGAATATGGAGAAACTCGCCACCATCAATCGTTTGGCAAGATTCCATAGCCAGGGAAATCCTGCTGCAGTTGACACATCTAAAGTCACTCCTGTTGTGCTAAAACCAGAACCACAGAGATATGTTGTGGCATTTCCTATGCCCAAAACCGTGCCACGAGGAGTTAAGTGTCTCTCTCTATGATCATAGTTTTGCTGGAAAAGCTAATTAACACCGATGATGTGCAGGAGAAAATAACCTTCAAGGTAATTTTGCTGTAATTAAGTACTCCGGGCATATGTCGGGTTCGAGATAGTTCTGGTAGTTAGGAAATAAAAACTCAGTTATCTTTTGAAGAAGCAGTTAGGACTTAGGATGTCCATATGAAACCCTAGTGTATGCCAAACATGATCATGTATAGCTATTAGTATTAACATGCAACTGAAAGTTTTGTTAATGAAGCTGGCGCTTGCTGTATTACGCAGTCGTCGGTGGATGCTGTTCATATTCTCTATTCTAATCTTACTAAGGAAGGTTTTCAGCTAATGCAGTTTAACTCCAACAATCTAGAATTTTTCACTAGCATTCAATGCTATAATAACGCCTATTACTTCATATGAAAATGACTTTTTGAAATCTCTCCATAAAAACATTGTACTACTTAAGCTAAAAGCCATGGAGATTGTCCTGGGAAAGGTTTTATACTCTAACTCAACAGACAATCGGAATGATACAAGGCGGTGAAATAATCAGATTCTAAGAGTGGGTCATGGATTGAGCATATCTAATACTTCAACAACACACTCCACTTAGATCCCACGAGAAGGGTATGGGGAGAGAGTGTGTACATAGACTTGTCCCTTCTCAAAAGTAGAGAAGTTGTTTCCGAAAGATCCTCGGCTCAAGCTGCACGGGAAAAAAAGAAGACAAGAGATACATGAAGCAAAGAAAGCACAGATAAAACACAACGCGCGCATAGACATAACACAAAATAAATTTACTCAAAAAAAACGTAAAACAATCATAGAGCACCAAGCATATAAGGCATACAAAAGAACAACGACGTGTATAGGGAGCTACTTCCTAGGCCAAGGCGCTTACCTAATCACTAGTTTTTACATCGTGCTTCGCACGGGCTCTCATGCTTTTATATAAATATATCAATAAAATTGTTACTCCGTATTATATTTAAAAAATAAAACTTATATTAAATAAATAAGTGAATTACTATTAAAATTGTTCAATCACAATGTGTACTGATGGAATACATAAATATTATACACGCATGCAGAAATATGAAGGATGATACATTAACTCTTCATAAATAAACATTTCGTTTTTGGAGATATCGTGGTATGCGAGGGTAGGATGTATTTATTTATTTCCTCTATGACTATTATTGTTTTACACTTTGACTAATTAAATTTATAATTTGGATAGAAAACGTATTTTAAATTTTTAAGGAAAAGTTTGATTTTTTTTATTCTGCCATCTTTGTGTATGAAACACTATACATTTATGAAAATAAAAAAATAAAATATATTTTATTCCACTATTTTCTAAAAAATGAACACCAAGAAAAAATAGCAAATAAAATAGTGAACAAAGATTGATGTATGACTATTTAAGAGTTATATTAACATTTTGTAATTTTTTTAAAAAGTTCAACTAATATATAAACATTATACTCCCTCCGTCCCAAAATATTTGTCACGCTTGTTTTTCAGCAATCGCGGGGACTATTGTTTATTTCTACGTTTTCATTGGTTATTTGATAAAATAAAATATTCTTGACACTTCTTATTTCGAAAAACTTTTCATGTAGTTTTTTTATATGTAAATTTTATTTTTTATTTCTCTACCAATATGAAAATAAAATGAATTGAAAAAATTTGATATTTTACCTCGGGAATACAAGTGCGATAAATATTTAGGGACGGAGGGAGTATGAATTAAAATTTAATTGTATTTATTTTAATTTTTTAATAATAATATGACATGTATTATAAGTGTTTTTAGAAATTTGGATATGATATTGTTTGTAGCTAGACTATTATTAGATAAGATATTTTTTTGAAAAAAATTTATTTTAACAATAATTACCATACTCTAAAATTTATATATAATAGTTTATAGTAGCTAGACTATTAAATACAGTACTTTATATAATTAATTTTTTTGAAAGGTAATAAAAAGAAAAAAATGGTGCAATACTAAATATGCGCATATATATATATATATATATATATACACACACTCCGTATGTTTTAAATACTAAATATAATATTTTTAATAGTAGATACAATAAATAAATAAATAAGAAATGGAAATTTTTAACTAATTCTTATGATATTGTTTTGAAATAGAAATTATAATTTTAATAATGATGCAAATGTATTATATTTCATATAAATTTATATATTTAAAATTGAATAAAAAGGGAAAAAATTCATACAAAGTGTTGTCTTTGAAAAATTTAATAAAGTTTATATAACCTTTGAAAAAAGTACTTAAATAATAAGACATTAAAATATTTTTTAAAATGACGAAAGACATATTAGGATATGAATTAGAAGATGAAAAGTTTTAAATATTAAAATTTTTTGTAATTAAATATAATAATCATAATTAGTTTTTTTTTTAAAATATTCTAATAAATACCATGTGGACTAATAAAATAATGACATTATGCCATGAGATAAAAAAAAGTTGTCATTCATATGCCACATCTCTTCATCACGGCTAAAGAACTCTCTTTTACACGGAATATATAAAACCAATTAGAAACCCGTTAAAATCATAATTACTTCTGCATAAATTTAAAACCAGTCCGGTTAAAATCAGTTTATGTTTGTACTACATAAAATTTCCCCACCAATCGCTAACCAATCAGTTTTCTACCGAGGACGACGACGGGATATAGACGTTCGATCGGCATTGGGCGGCGCACCCTATTAATTTTCAGGGAAAACGTACGCAGTATCATTTTTTTGATCTATAATCGACTGCCATAAATGACGGAGGATAGCTTCCCAAGGGGTTCCTCGTCGGAACCGGCTTCTTCAACTGATCCTGCAATGTCCCAAAAGAGGTGCAAACATACCTTCAAAGCATCTTTAATCTTCAACTGATTATCGATTATAATACTGTAATTGTTATAATTAGATATATTATTTCTTTGCTTCAAATCTAATAGATTCAACATACAAAGTTGAAGAAAATATTGCGATTCCATATTTTTTTTCATTTAAGTTGAATTATTATTGGTAGAACTGTCATGGTTCGTTGGTTTTCGGAAACTTGAAATGGAAGCAAGTACCCAAAAAATTCAATCATGAACTCCAACAAGAGCAGTCAACACATTGAAATTGGACTATTAATTTAAAGTTGTTTACTGTGCAGGAAAAGAAGGAAGTGGGATCAGCCTGAAGAGACATTGGTTTCAGCTGGAGCATGCCAGCCTCCAATTATTCCTTTCACAGGCATTGGATCTTTTCTTGGTGTTGCACTTCCAGGGGTAGGCCCAGCAATCGGTGCAACTTTGGCACAACAACACACGGTAGATCTTGCTAAAAATATAAGTCATTTAGGGTCACTTTAGTGATAACCGGTTTCCTCTTGTGTTTCCTTAATATCTATTTATTTATTTATTTATTTATTTTGTTTCATTTATAATACACAGACTTATAGGATAACACTATACTAAGTAAAAACAAAGTGGGATCCAAATATGATAATTTCTTCATTTTCGGAGAGATTTTTTTAAGCTCCATTGCCAATGGAGCTAATAGAGTCATTTTAGACAATATTTTTGCTTCAGATAACTAATGGACTTAATCAAAATACTTCCCGTGCTTCTCATTTCCTATGAAGTTTTGGGCAGTAAATGCATCAATGCATCAAGGGTCTATCAGAAGTAGCCTCTCTATTTTTTTCATGGGTAAGATTGCGTACATCTAGCGGCTAGACCACCACAGAGTTGGGATTATATTGGTTTGTTGTTGTTGTTGTATTTTATCTTTCCTTTTTTTTAATGAACTTTCACTTTATGGGAAACTATATTGTTGCGAACTCTATTTTCAGTTAGGCTTGATTTTACCGTGCCACCCTCACAATTAATGATCAATACAACTTGACATTCCTGAATAACCTTGTTTGTTGGCTATTAAATCTTTTTTTGAAAATATGCATTTTCTTTCAATTTTATGATTTTTTCCATGATCTATTCCACTTTCCAGCCAAAGATACAAGATGAGTTGATTGCAAGAGAGATTGTCATAAATGATGCTGACTCCGCTGTTCGATACAAACTCACAAAGCGCCAAACCCAGGAAGAGGTGCTTTTCCTATAATTTGAGTTTCATATCACCCATTAAAAAATTACGAGGCCCTAGACAAATACATTGGAGTATTATGCTTGGATTATGTATGCTGTTATTTGAGGCTAAATCAATTTTCTGTTTTCCCAGATTCAAAAGATCACAGGTGCAGTGGTAATAACAAGGTATGTTATTCATATAAAAAGAATCTGAAGTGCACATTCTTAATTGCTTCTCTTCTCATCATGTTATACATTTGCTAATTGGCCTTTGCAGGGGCAAGTACAGGCTTCCTACCGCACCTCCTGATGGTGGAAAGCCACTATATCTTCACATTTCTGCTGGAGCACATGTAACTAACTTGCTTTCTGTAAATTTATCTTTAATTCATTTATTTATAAAATATCAATGAGTTCAAACATGCTCCTATTAGGTGTATTTTGTTTTTATTATTTTCTTAGTTCTTAGGAAGGGTTTCCATTGTCTTTCTTCATTTTATGTTTAATGAACAATTTAAAATGTGTGAAATATTTTAGGCTGTGATGTTTATTTTTCTAATCTTTTGTATCTTGCTAAGTTTGTTTTCTTGTTTACCTGTAAAGACTTGCCTCTCTGTTACATGAATCTGGATATTTACCAGTGCCAATGTTTAAATTATCTGTCCGTAGTTGCTTTTATCTGCTTCCAAAGTGCATTACATTACATATTTTTGTTGTTGAGCTGTATTATAGATTTAGTCATAGCACAGTGCCATATTGGTGTTGTTGAGATGTATTATAGAACTAGCCCATACGGAGTAGTTTTCTAGCCCATAACTTAACGTCATCAACAAAGGGTATAATTTTTGGCTCAATTACATTACACTTTAACAAAGTCAAGTCTCATTTCCATCCTAATCAGAAACGAGCAAATCTAAAATCCCACCCTAGCTCTGCACTCTTTTTCGTCCAATTTCTAGCTGCCAGCCTCCTCTTAGTGACCTTGGATAATGTCTTGTACAAACACTCTTATCAGTTTATTATGTGGCACTAACATATCTGTGTTATGCAACCCCATCTTATGTAGGGGGCCTTTCAATAGCACTTAATTTGAGTATTGTTGAGTTAAGTACCTTTCAATTAAATATTTCTTAGTTTAAATTTAAACTAAAATTAGT